TCAAAACAACCGAGCAAATTGACAAGGAAGGCCAGTCTACTAGGTTTTGGATGTCCTACCCACCAAAGCTCATTCTCGTTTTTCCAACAAACATTCCCCTGATGTTGGGTACATAGTTTGCACCTATTGATTCAAACATTTGTAGGCTGATATGAATGGATTACTGATAGGTTCAGGCTAACCTAGATTACACACTGAGTTCCAGGTCAGCCTGGATAACATTATCTAATCTCTCTCAATCTCTCTCTCTCTCTCTCTCTCTCTCATTTTGGAACTAGCTCTTGTAGACCAGGCTGGCCTCGACCTCACAGAAATCCTCCTGTCTTTGCCTCGTGAGTGGGATTAAAGACATGCGCCACCACTGCCCAGCTCTAACTGATGTTCTGAATGTCTTATGGTATTTCATAAGTCCTTAAAACACAAGGATGCAATGCTATTGAAAAACATGAAAACAAGAAGGAAGCATAGATGCCACTGAGGAGAATTAATTAACTTCATGGGGGAGGGAACTATCAAATGTTCAAGACTTTAGAGGTAAATAACTAAAAATAAAAAAAAAAATCTCAAACTGAACTGGCCAAGTACATTCATTTATCTCCCTTTTGAGAATAAAAATAATCCAGAAAAGAAATTCTTTTTCTTGGTTTTCCTTTACAGGGTTTCTCTGTGTAGCCCTGGCTGTACTGGAACTCACTCTGTAGATCAAGCTGAACTCAAACTCACAGAGATCCACCTACCTCTGCCTCCCAAGTACTGGGATAAAAGGCATGTGCCACCACCGCCTGGCCCATCAAAGAATCTTTTTAAATATCTAATTGTTGAGAGGACAAAATAAAATAGCATTTGGCCTAGCACATGGCAATACTCAACAAACAGCCAACAAACAATGGCTATTATTGATAACATCTCTTTTCAATCAAAATTACATGATATTTTGTAATTTCACAGAAGTCAATATGTCATCTGTGATTTTGCTATGTAATCAATACTAATTGAACAATAAAATCTTTATCAATACAACTAATACAAAACAAGAGATCAAGGAAAGGTCTATATATTGGGGTTTTGTTTTTGCTTTGGATTTTATTGTTGTTGTTGCTGGGTTTTTGTTGTTGTTTTTGATTGGTTGGTTTTTCGAGACAGGGTTTCTCTGCAGTTTTGGAGCCTGTCCTGGAACTAGCTCTTGTAGACCAGGCTGGCCTCAAACTCAGAAATCCAGCTGCCTCTGCCTCCTAAGTGCTGGGATTAAAGGAGTGAACCATCACCACCCAGCACTTTCTTTCTTTCTTTCTTTCTTTCTTTCTTTCGGTGATTTTTGAGACAGAATCTCAGTAAGAAGCCCTGTTTGACCCAGAACTTGCTATATATCAGACTAGCCTGGAACTCATAGAGATCCTCCTGCCTCTGCCTTCCATAGGCTAGGATTAAAGGTATGCACTTTCATGTAGAGGAAAAATTAGTACACTGTATCTAGTGTAAATATTAAAATGTAATAGTTGTTTGCTGGAGGTACTTAGATCTTCAAGAAATCATTGTAGAAAACAGTGATTGTTTTCTGTGATTTACAAAGTTGTTTATAGGTCTTTGCCCTAACTTTGGCCACAGGGCAATCCTGGCATGCCAGAAACATCTTGCATTATTGAGTACTGCAAACAGTGCACAATAAGGACTGAAGTCACAGGGGCGTGATGTTTTCCTTTACAAAACATAGATTAGATCAGGGCTTTGGGATGAGGAACTTGCTTTACCCACAAAACAAGTTTTGTATAACAGTCAATAAATATGCTTCTGCATGACCGTTTGAGTTCAGTTCATCAGGACTGCTCCTCCCAGATGCTTCAGAGCCTAAATTACCCTCTTTCTTTGATTATCCCTCTTAACTCTGAACACCCAATACCACCAAGTCAGTTTAAAGCCCTTAAACGGCATGATGGTACACGTATATAATCCCAGCATTCCATAGGCAAGAGGAGGTGAGTTTAAGACCACTGTCTCAAACACAAGTCAATTTATATTGGTGTGTTAATGCCTTATGACATTCCTCCCAATGGGCAAATACATGTGCAATCCTTATCTAGTGTCTTCTCATAGAATGTGAGCCACAAATGTTAATTTTAAAACTTCTGCCAAGAGCTAGAGAGATGACTGAACAGTTAAGTGTGTACACTGCTTACAGAAGATCCAAATTCAGTCCCTAGCACCCATATCAGGGCACTAACCTAGCCTCCTCCACAGGCACTTGCATTCACTTGCACAAAACCACACATACACGTAATTTAAAAATAATAAAAATAGGCAGTAGTGGCAGAAACCTTTAACCCCAGAGGAGGCAGAGGCCAGTCAACCTGGTCAACAGAGTGAGTAGTCAAGGCTACACAGAGAAACCTGTCTCAAAAAACAAAAAATAAAAATAAAAAATAAAATAATAAAAAATAAGTCTTAAGTAGTTGATAGTATAAAGACAAAATTAACTTTAATATGCATTTTACTTAATCCAGTATATACAAAGCATCCTTTAAATATGCACATAATGTAAAAATAAAATATTTAAAAAATTTTTACATTATCTTCCGAATCTAGTGTGCATTTCACTTGGTCCCAAAGAATCCCATTTCAACAGTTTCCTGTGTTCACAACGAAGTCCCGACCGAGACCTTTTCAGAAAAATCTTTGCAATGTTTTTAGCAGACATTTGCTTCTCAGATCAGTCTCTGACTAGCCAGGTAAGAATGCTGCCAGGCTTGAGTTCCTCCTGATTGCATCTGAGCAGAGACCAAAGTGGGAGAAAAATGACCTGTTGCTACAAGACACATTCTAAACTGCTTCCTTTCACCTCACCAATTCTCAGTGAGCAGATCATCTCCAAAGGGGGGACCAGCACAAATCACGTAGCAAAAGCCGTAAGAGAGACCCATACTAGGTCATCAGGACCCGTGTGTTCACCTCACTAAAAAGGTATTATTGGCTGGTAGAGCAAGTGTCAGTATGTGCAAGGCCCTGAGTTTCCGACCTAGTACAATAAGTACAAATGAAACAAGGTACTAGCAAGCACTAAATTTCCTTCCAGTTGCAACAGATTCTACACTGGGGGCTCTAAAAGACGTCCAAATCTATACAAAAATCCCAAATTAAGAAAAAAATTCAAAGTAGCAATGGCTATGTGATCTCAAATATTAAGATAGAATAGCCCTGTTTTCTCTAGAAACTTAACTCTCCTACCAAGATGAGCAAAGACTTCTGAAAACTCACTCCTTTGGTCACCTCCCCAAGCTAATGCATTCTTGTTAAACTTTAACAAAGCAGGCAAGCTCAGACTACTTGGCTGCTTGATGTGAAAATAATTATTAAACCCTGTTGTAAGGAATGGGAAATACTGGGCTACTGTCTCAAAATTCAAAGTTTTAAAAGTAAACTCGTTACAGGAAAACACCGATATTTCTATCTTTAAAAATACAAAGTGAGCCAGGCGGTGGTGGCGCACACCTTTAATGTCAGCACTTGGGAGGCAGAGGCAGGAGAATCTTCATGAGTTTTGAGCACAGCCTGGGCTACAGAGAGTTCCAGGACAGTCAGGGATACACAGAGAAACAGAATGAAAGAAGAGTCATGTGATTTATTGTATTTTTCTCAACACTGAAATGAGCTGCTGGTTGCTGCTAGATCCCTTTTCTTCTGAAGTTCTCTAACAATTTCAAACAGGCATACAAGGCACGTCGGTCATTTCCACACACAAACCCTCTCTCAAGCTCCTCAGCCCACCTTCTTCACAGCAAGTCCCCCTCCTGTTTTCACGTCTAATTTTGGTTTGTCTCCTGTTTAAAAATTCTCGTTTTCCCGACATTGAATCTATGTTAACTTCTTACGCGCATAATAGTTGCAGAAAGAAATCAGGGCGGGGGCGCCTACTTAGTACGTGTGTTGTCCGAGATGCAGTCCTCTCGCCGCTGAAACAAGGCTGATCCGGAACTGGAGATTATTAAGACTAGATTCCATGAGAGTGACAACTTCGGACAACTCAACCTTAGAGCAAATCATTATTCTGATGACAAGTCCGTTATATGCCACCAGTAATAGCATCTAAACTAGTATGGGCAATCGCTTAGCCATCTGTTTACAAATTCTAGCAGTGAAAAAAATCTTCCACATCTGTATTAACTTTCAAATTACCTTAATTTTCAATAGTCTTTTATTAAGGCCGTTAGGGCCCGAGAAACAGCAAAAGGTCATGACTTTCCATTTTCTAATTCTGCAAAGTAAACAGATTCCAGTTTTTCCCGCCTCTCCCTAGTTTCCCCGAGAAATGGTGAATCTGAAGTCAGCGCCTGGAACGTGGTCTAGCAGTTTGAAAGGACAGACATCGTTCTGGGTCTCAGTAGGCTTCTTCACCCAAGACACACTGGTCAAGCACCCACCGATGGGGAGGCCATAGGTCAGTGCGGGTGAGAGGCAAGCTAAAGAAATCAGGCCCAGCAAGGTGTGGCCTCTGAACCACGGTCGACAAGGAATCTCAAGGTCGACAAACCAGTCGACAAGGAATCTCAATGCCATAAGAGCCCACAGAAGACAAAATGCAAGCAGACACTCCAGGACAAGATTCGGACTTCGGGGAGGACAGGGGCATTCGAAAGATGGCAAAGATCTGGAAATGGTTTCCACTAGCCAGGAATCCAGTAACTTTCCCAAAGTCTGAGTCACCTCCCCCAATTACTCCGAGAGAAGCCCAAGGGGTGCGAGGACACCCCCGAGGCCAGCTCAGCCCTCCGCTCCCTCCCACCGTCGGCGGGGAGGCTCCGCCCCGCTCCGAGGCCGCGGGCGCCAGATCCGGGAGCACGCGCGACCCGCTGAGCTCCCAGGCCCCGCGGCCTGGAAGTCGGCGCAGGGCGGAGGAGCAGAGCCGCGCGCGGGGGTCGCCTTGGGGCCTGCGAGCCGCCTGGGGCACCATCCGCAGCCTCGGGCCACGGCTCCCTCGAGGCCCCCGCTCGGGGCGCCACAAGCGTTACCTGGTCAGGCGACAGCACTGTGGGAGCCCCGGGGCTGCGCGGGCGCCGCCGCCCCACCTGGCGGAAGTGCAGCGGCTGGCCTCACCTGGGCGGAAGTGCAGCGGCCTCCTCACCTGGACGGAAGTGCAGCGGCGGCCTCCTCACCTGGTCCTCTCTCGCTCTCGGCCGGGGCTGGGCGGGGCGGGGCGGGGCGGGGCGAGCGGGAGCCCGTGGGCTTCGAGGCGCCCGTGAAGTTCCGCGGGTGAGTGGGGCTGCCGAGCGTGGAGAGGAGGCGTGGGGCCGTGCGGGCAGGTGCGGAGGTGCGGGGCCACCGGCGCTGGCCCGAGAGCGAGACCCTAAACAAGACACCGAAGGGCGGTATCCGTGCAACCTCTGGGTCAGGTCCACTTAGCCCCTAGCCCTATGTCCCTTGGTTCCTGTCTTCTTGTGGCCCTTAGGTTTTCTAGATGTGCTGACTGCACGTAAAGTTTCATAAATGTCGATCTCTGTGTCCCATCATCATAAGTGTAATTATGTGGGTTTTTTTTTTAATTTAGAATTTTGGCGATAAGCTTCTGCTTTATCGAATACAGCCCACTCAATGCTAAAGAGATAACCATCAGGTATCTTACTGAATAAATGAACTATTAAGCATTGTGATTGACGGGATGCTAGATAAAAGGGTATCCTCAAAAGATGAATACATACAAACAACTACGACACGAGGACGTTTGCTGGTTAAGCGTTTGGTAGTTTATGACTGCGTGCTTATCTTAAAGGAGATGACATTTGTTCGGCCTTGTAAGAAGGTGTCCGGTTTGTCCCTAATGTAAGGAATAAAGTGTCCGTTTCACCTGTCCTAGTCAACATCCTATTGGAAACCTCAACCAGAGCTGTAGACAAGGAGTGAACAACAGATAGTGCTCCGTGGAGTCCCAGCACTCTGGAGTTTCATGTAGTATTATTCAAGTCCCTGAATCTAAAAAAAAAAAAAAAAAAAAAAAAAAAGGTACGGAAAGAAATAAAGGGCACACTAATGGAAAAGAAGCAAGCGAAATCTCATTTGTGGACGTCATAATTTTAAAGGTAAACAAACCTTAAAATGCAAGGATACAAAATCAACAGACCAAAATCAAGGTTGGGTGGGCAAGTGGGTAAAGGTGCTTACTGCCCAAGCCTGACCACCTGCATTCAAGTTCTGTCTCGGGAGCCCATATGGTAAAAGGGTCAAACCAACAGCAGCAGGTTGTTTTCTGACCTTCATACACCCCCAATCCCAATAGACCATGGGTCATGTCCTCTCACACACACAAATGTAAAAAAGAAAAGAAAGAAAAAGGACACACTGTCATCCCAGCGTTCCTGTAGTTAAACAAGAGGATTTCCATGAGCTCAAAGCCAGCCTAAGCTACAGAGTGAACTCAGGCCAGAATGGACTACTGAAACACATAGTGAGACTGATCTTGTCTCAAAAATAAATGAATGAAACTTTGAAAGTCAGCAGCTTTTTTGATAACAAATAATGGACTTGCTGAGAATGAAATCGAGAAACCCACCCCATCCACAATAGCAAAAACAAATACATGAAAAAACACAACCCTGGTATTAGTTGCCTACTTGTGCTGGCTAGTTGTATGTCAGGAGGACAGTTATCTGACAGGTGGAATCCTCAACTGAGAAGTTGCCTCCATGAGTCAGCTGTAGGGTATTTTCTTAATTAGTGATGGATCAGGAGAGGGCCCAGCTCATGATGAATGGTGCCATCCCTGGGCTGGTGGTCCTGGGCTCTTTAAGAAAGCAGACTGAGCAAGTGATGAAGAGCAAGCCAGTAACTGGCACTCCTCCATGGTCTCTGCATCAGCACCTGCCTCCAGGTTCCTGCCTGTTTGAGTTCCTGATGTGACTTCCTTCAATAATGAAGTGTAGAATTGTAAGCAAAATAAACCCTTTCCTCCCCAACTTGTTTTGAGTCATGGTGTTTCCTCATAGCAAAAGGAATCCATACCAGAAATGGATTATTGCTGTTATAGACCTGACCATGTTATTTCAAGAAAGGTGGAAGAACTTTGGAACTTGGTGGGGGGAAAAAAAAAGCCACTCAATGTATAACGCTTTGGTGAGCTATTCTATAGGAGCTTGGAAGATAACAATGTCGAGGGCAATGCTGAAGGTGGAAGAGGCCTGGCTTGTGAAGTTTCAGAAAAGGTTTAAAGACTGTCAGGGGCCATGGTTCTAATTAGTTGAGGCTGAAGAATCAGCAGTGATTAGCAAGATACCAGAACTGTTAAAACTGAAATCTTTGCATCTGGGATACTAGATCCTGGCTGACTGGAGCTAAAAAATTAGCAGTGATTAAGGGACCCACAGGGGGGCTGGAGAGATGGCTCAGTGATTAAGAGCACTGACTGCTCTTCCAGAGGACTCCGGTTCAATTTTCAGCACCCGCGTGGCAACTAACAACTGTAACTCCAAATCTAATACTCACACAGACATGCTGGAATAATTCCTTTCTGCACTATAAAGGTTTGTCACTCAAATTGGCTTAATCAAATGCGGATTGGCAAGTAAGCCAATGAGGAAGTATAGGCAAGGCTACCAAACTAAGGATGATGAGATGATGGACGGGGAAGAGTGGAGGCAGAGAGTTGCCGGCAAATACAGAGAAGCAAGATGAGAATGCCGTACTGAGAAACGCTACCAAGCCACGTGGCAAAGCATAAGTAAGGTAATTTAAGTGTAAGAGTTAGCTGGTAACAAGCCTGAGCTATTAGCCGAGCATTTATAAGTAATATTAAGCCTCAGTGTAGTTATTTGAGAGTGGCTATGGGACAGAAAACATCCACTTACACAGACATACATGCAGCTAAAACACCAATGCACATAAAATGAAAATAAATTAAAAAGGAAATAAAAGACCAGCATGTTTAAGGGGAAGTCTTCAGGGAAGTATTTTTGAGAGCACAGAGAAGCTGTGTTCCAGAGGTGGCCAAGGTTGTACCTCAAAACCTGGCAGCTGGACTTCAGAGTGCAAGAGTCACCCAGGCGGTACTGGTTTTGAAGATATGAAGGAGTACTGGAGAGCAGTTGAGGCCAGACACTGGGAGAGGCCAAGAGAGGGCATCAGTGAAGACACAGCCTCAGTGGCAGTTAAGACCCAGAAGTGAGGGGTCATGAAGAGAAGTTGAGGCCTGACACCATAAAAAGAGCCTTTGAGAGGGTATTAGTGAAAGTACAGCTTAGATACAGCAGAAGGCCCCAGCATTTTGAAGATGCCAGGACCATGGGATGGTCACCAAGAACGCAGCAGCAGAAGAACAAGCTGTGTCTGCTACAGAGGGCAGAGCCAGAGAAGTGATCAAGCCCTTTGAAGGAGACCAGAAGATCATGAATGAACCCAACACTGGACATTGAGTCATTTGTACTGATTGGAGTTAGGTTTTACTTTGCTTAGATTGTGGCTGCGTTTTGTTTTTTTCCTTCTTGAAAGGTGTATTTAACTTGTTTTATAGGCGCCCACAGTTGTGAGACTAAATTTTTAAAGAGATTTCAGGTTTTAAAAGAGACTTTGAATTTTTAATGAGTTTGAATTTTAAAGTGTTTGAATTTGTAAAGACTGGGATTTTTTTTTTTTTTTTTTTTTTTTGGTTTTTTGAGACAGGGTTTCTCTGTGGTTTTGGAGCCTGTCCTGGAACTAGCTCTGTAGACCAGTCTGGTCTCGAACTCACAGAGATCCGCCTGCCTCTGCCTCCCGAGTGCTGGGATTAAAGGCGTGCGCCACCACCGCCCGGCTTGGGAAGTTTTTTTTTTTTTTATTAAAGTTTTATTTATTTATTATGTATACAGTATTCTGCCTGCATGTATCCCTGCAGGCCAGAAGAGGGCAACAAATCTCACTGCAGATGGTTGTGAGCCACCATGTGGTTGCTGGGAATTGAACTCAGGACCTATGGAAGAGCAGGCAGAGCTCTTAACCACTGAGCCATCTCTCCAGGCCCAAGACTGGGAATTTTTAAGTTTGTAAGCTATTTTATATTGTGGTGTTATTAATATGTGATCTTGAAGGTGAGCAAGAAAGGAAAGGTTAAGCCTAACAATGTTTCTGTGTCAAGTTGACAAGGAGTCAAGACACTACTGCTGTAATGTTGTTTTATCTAAGATGTTGTATTTCCCAATAATGAATCAGGAATTGGGTATGGGGGTGGGGGACCTGCTAGATCACAGATGCTGAGAAGCAACCAGATGGCCCTCCTTTTTGGCCAGAGACCAAGCAAAACCCATCCCAAACCAAAAAGGCCCCAAATCTCTAAATCCTCCCTACTCCCTCCTGTATGTCTCTATCTGTCTTCCTAGTTCTCCATACTCTCTTCAGCTAATTCTTGTCAACTAGTCAAGGTTAATTTTATTAATACAGTCTCAGAGTTTCACAGTGTGAATCAAATATCCTGTGACACTAGTAAAATTCTCTGACCCAACAATTGGCAGGAGGCAGATGTAGGAAAATCTCTACGAATTCAAGACTAACCTGGTCTCTGTAGGGGGTTCCAATCCAGCCAGAGCTACATAGTGAGTGAGCCCCTGATGTTTCTTTGTTTGTTTAAAAACAATGTAAGAGAGAGTTTATTTGGTTCATAATTCTCGGTTACACCTTATCAATGTGGGTTGAAGGTGGCAGGAAGATAAAACAGCTCATCACATTCCATTCAGTCAAGAAACAGCAAAGGCTTTTATACAGTTCAGAACCCTCTGTTTAGGGGATGGCACCACCCACAGTATGCTGATTATCCCCACCTCAACGTAATCAAGGTAGTCCCATACAACAAAACAAAGCAAAACAAAAACAAACAAAAAAGCCAATTGAAACTATATCACAGAAATTTGTGCACATCAAAGAAATAACTAAGGTCTAGAGAGATGATGGCTCAACATTAGGAGTATTGGCTGCTCTTCCAGAGGACCTGGGTTCAGTTCCCAGCAACCCAATGGCCGCTCAGAATCATCTATAACTCCTCCTGTTTCAGGCATCTAAGTCCTTAGAATTCATAGGTCTTTTAGTTAGGGTTACTATTACCTTGATGAAACACCATGGCCAAAAGCAATTTGGAAAGAATAGTGCTTATTTGCTT